GTTCGAGTCATGAGTGGGGGGTTAAATAGTACATGGATCGGGGGGTGGTGGAGAAAGAGACATAGGAGTGGAATAATCTAGAGTACACACATATTAAGTAGTGCTGAGCTATGGGGTCACTATGACTCAAAATGCTGTTGACTGCTAGGGACCATCCCAATGAGTTAAACAGTAAATCACAAGCCTTTTCGCTTTGGATTAATATCATGCTTCATTTTTTCTATATATAAAGTAGGTGCCGAAGTGCTACTTAAAAGTGTGTTTATAGAGCACCTTTGCTAAAACTTGCAACACTTAAAAAGAAATAAAATCTATCAATTCTGGGTGAACTTAGTCTATAGGTACTGTATGCAAATTGCTACAGCTATGTTTCTATTTTAAGATCAGTTATTTCAAATTAGCTCCTCACATCCATGTGCTAGGGTCTGATAGTAAGGGTGGGAGGAGGGTAGAGCACAAAGAGGCTACATCAGATTCATTTTCCCTGTTGTAGGAGTGGGGGAAGGAGGGGAACAAATTCAAGGCAAAGCTCCAACAAATTAGATTCTACACCTAGAAAATTATACCAAATTCATAAAATTTCCACATACAGAATCTAATTATTGGGGGATTGTCTTATAAATCAGGGTCATCTAATATTAGAGTAAAAATGGTTACTCTTTAAAAGCTAGGAACATAAAAGAAGGCAGGTGTTGCTTGTTCATAATGCACTTCGGCTAAATCCTCTCCAGTTTAAAGCAAGCTTTATTTAAAACAGAAGACTGCTTCTCTCCCTAGTGGTACATGTCTCTGTTCATGTATCAAAAACATTCCTTTAGGATATTCAATAACAATTAAGTGAGCTTGGATCAAAAGGTCTCATTGAAAGTCAATGGAAATACTTTCAAATTACATAGGTGCACTGAAAATGCTATATAATAGCATTTGGCATTCTAATTGTGAATAGGGTGACAAAAAAAATATCTTAAAATATTAGTCTCTCTTATTGTATTCATCTTACTGGAAGTGTAAATGCAGAGTCAACAAGGCCCCTAAGCGCACGCATTTGTAAAAGCATCTGATAAATATATGTGCTTCACTGAATCTGGGCCTTAAACAGGTCTTCAACCCAGCTTAATATGCAGAGCCACTATTTCTACACCTTCTAGTTCACAGATCTAAAGTCTACTGAACAGAGTTAACTAGATGAAAGAAATTTCTGAGTTCCTATATTTGCTACCTAGCACTTAATGCAATGAAGAATAGCCATTACACCAATCTTCTTACCTATAATGTAAGAATATAATGTCCTGATGTTCTTCCACTGAAAGCTACATCCTTGCAAACCGAAACATACAAATTAGCTACATTCTCTTCCCATGGTACTGCTTTCTTGAGTGAGGTTTCCAAATTTCTGGAGTAAAATTGCATTTTTTTAAAATTTTTATTTATTTATTTATTTTACACACACAAGTCTGCCTGTGACCCGGAATGCCAGTCCCTCTGGGTCAAATTAATCCCTAGGGCACTTCCATTTAGCCCCAAGCCTAAATTTGTATTACAGTGTCTAGTGTGTATATGGCATGTTACATTATGCACCAATATATTCAAGGTGAGTTGTTATTTTGGACGAGAGAAGAGAAGCAGCGAGTAATGTGGTCTGATTAAATCAGAAAGACCAAGACTGACAATATTTGAGTTCGTTTTCCATCTGTGACAAGGGCTTCAAGAAACAGCCATGTTATTTCGTGTGATGAAGAAAAAGAATCCAATCCAGAGCAGGAAAAGCAACATTTGCACGTGGAAAAAAAATAGCAAATGTTGAAGATTCAGCAGAAAGCTCATGAGACCACTATGCAGATGTCTGTAACTAGACCAAGCTAGTAAGAAACATGAGAATATTTTGTGCATTAGGAAAATAGGAACAAAACAATACTTCTAAGACCATGGGGGGTTTGAGATTCATCTAAAAAAAAAACAAAAACCTCCCAGTTCACAAGAAAATTAAATGCATATCTGCAGCTACTACCTTCATGCTAGAAATACAGTATCTCTCTACAACTTTTGTGGTAAAAAGGGTGATAAGGAGTGAGACTAGAGCTGATTGCTTTGCTAGCAGTAATGTCCCATTACAAATGTAAATCTGCCTATACAAATGATGCTTGGCCCATGCACTGACTGAAGCTGTTTTGTGGAGATTCCTCACAAATCAACACTTTTATGATACTGAGGTGTGATAGATGTATGTATTGTACTAGTGGCTCAATATATCCTTGTACAATCAATGGAGATCTCAGTTGTAGTTCTTACTTGTCCCGGCATGGAAGAGGTTTTTTCTATGTAAAAATAGATTTCAATATCTCAGTAACCCAAATGGACACTAGGGGAATTATTATTCTGGAAACACCCCACAAATTGCCAGATTTTACTGTACAAAGACACGTTACTGGCTGTATGTACATGTCAAATCATGATTAAACAAATATATCAAATACCTAAAATCAAAAAGTGTGCCTCTGAACCTTATGTTCCTTTGGAAAAGGACCTCCAAATTCTTGATCCAGGACAAGAGTGCAATTTATAACTGACAATAACTTCCTCATTTATTTAAATACCTTGGGTGCCTCTAGTAATAAGACAGGAACACCAACATAAAATATTCACTGACTGACTTAGATGTTCTGATAGCTGCTTGAGGTTCAACAAAGGGGAGGCCGATTTGGGCAAAGCATAAGCTGGCGTTGGCCCCAGGACACTGGTGCGGGCCACATGCTCCTGCCCGGGTGTCGCTGTGCTCCCGCCCATCCGCCCCTACTTCCTCCCACCCCAGCTCCACGGTACAGGCTGGGACCAGTATGCACAGCCCTGACCCTAAGTGTCCTGTGCTCACCCATCTGGGCTGAGCAGTGACAGCACAGGACAAACTGCTGCTCAGCATGGGGGGAAAAGCAGCCCTTTCCGCTCCTCCTCACCAGCGCTTCCTGGTGCTGCTGCCTGAAGCCTGCGCAGGGCTGCCCTGCGTCGCTGCCAACTCACTGCTACCTCTGGACTGCCCTATGGGGCAGCAGTGGCAGCACAGAGCAGATGCAGGGCAGCCCTGTGAGCACTCCAAACAGCTGTACCAGGAAGCACTGGCAGTAGGAGGGGGAGGGGCCACTTTCCCTCCAAGCTGAGCAGCAGTCTCTCTCCCACACCGCTGCTGCTCAGCCTGGGCCCCAGCACCAGCTCCAGACTTGCTCCTCCAAGCTGAGCAGCAGCAGCCAGGCAGAAACTGCTGCTTGGCATGGTGCAAAGAGGCCCCTCTGACTCGTTGTCACTTGGCAGTTTTTGGCGCGGCTGCCCAGAGCCTGCGCTGTACCTGGCTGCCCTGCATCTCCATCACCGTCGCCTCTGGGCTGCTCAGTGCAGTAGCGGTAACAGTGCAGAGCAGCTGCAGGGCAGCTCTCAGGTGGTGGTGACAGAGCTGCAGGGCAGCCCAGTGCAGCGCAGCACAGGCTCTGGGCAGCTGCAACAAAAACAGCCTGGCCATGGCGGGGGGGGGCAGGGGCACTTTCCCCCGTGCTGAGCAGCAGTTTCTGCCCAGCTGCTACTGCTGTTGCTCAGTTTGGATGGGCAAGCCTGGAACCAGTGTGCAGGGTTGTAGCTGCTCATGTTGGTCCCTACTGCTACCACTGCATGCCCAGGGGTATAGCATGAACTGAACTAATGTAGCTGATGTTAACATAAAGTGTAATAATAGTGAAATATAACCATGTTAGTCTTGCCCTGTAAGCAACTTGAAAACTCCATTTCGTATCCTTCTGCTTGACATAAATGAATGAACTCTGCATATCCTTTATGTATAAGTGTATGTAAAAGGGTGAATGGTGAGAGAATGGCATAAAAACGGGAGAAGATTTAACTGTTTATGTAAGCAACAAGGTGCCAGAAGTGTAAATTACCAGCTAGTAACTAACAAATGGCTGAAGAATCCCTTTGAAGCTCGAGAGCACAAAAGAGATAAAAGAAGAAGAAATTCTGCCAGACAGGCAACAAGAACACTCCAAGGCTAAAATAAGCTAAAGACAAAAGAAGAACAACAACTGCAAAAACAGAAACTGGGTACAGAAAAACCACAAAGCACTGAAACAAAGGATGCCAATACCTATAAAAGAACACTTTGAAAATGCCAAGTTGGGTGAGTGTCTTTTTCTACTGCTGTTTCATCGGGGCACAGATGCATCTGTTCACCCCACTCTAGCTGTTATCTTTAAATCTGCCATCTTCAAATCATCATCATCATCTACTCAGAGAATCACAGAAGTAGGGTCGGAAGGGACCTTATAGATCTTCAAGTCCGACCCCCTGCCAGGGCAGGAGAAAAAAAACTGGGCTCAAATGATCCCAGCTAGGTAGGCATCAAGCCTCCTCTTAAAGACCCCCAGGGGTAGGAGCCAGCACCACTTCCCTTGGAAGTTGGTTCCAGACCCTAGCCGCCCTAACTGTGAAGTAGTAATTGCGGATGTCTAGTCTAAACCTACTCTCCAACAACTTGTGGCCGTTATTCCTTGTTATGCCAGGGGGAAAGACTGATTAATGTTTGACTCACTAAATAGAAGGAATGTTATTTAAAAACAGGTATCTAATTATGGTCCATCTCCACTACAGATGTTACAGGGTTGATGCTAAAGTTTTCTACTCTGAAAAGCAGCCAACCATTGTATCACAGAAACTACCAGGGGAAAAGAGAACATGCATCTGTTCATGTATTTAAACTTTTTTGTCCAGGCAATAAAATGTATTCAGAAGCAAGGTTTCAAAACCAAATTACTGCATTTAAATGTTTTAACAAACAGTCAGTACAGCAGTCCTATGCAGTAAGCACTCAAGATCTTTTAGAAGTTTCTAAACAGACCTTGGACAATGCTGCCGTAGCAAAACACATTTTCCAAGGAAGAAGCTTCCAAAAATAAAAATACAGAAAAGAATAAAATAGGAAAGAGTTCAGTCATCAGCTACGATCAAAGGATATAGCTTTTTACCTGTTGGCTGCCTAATACAGGCTGCTGTTGACCCATCTGCAATGAAGCAGCTGTGGTTGGTTGTGCAACCGGAAAGGTCATTGCTGGTTCTTGATAATGTTGTGGTCGCTGAGACAGAGCAGCAGCAGCAGGTGGAGTCTGAACTACTGGAAGTCCAGGCTGGATGAAAGAAAATATATTATTTTAGGGAAAAATGCAAACAATCTAGAAAATAAAAAAATTATCTAGATCATGCTTGCCACTAAATATTTAATCCAAAGCAAGGAAAAGGAAATGAAGAATATAAGCAAGGAAAGGAAAGTTTATGTTGACTATATATGTAAAAAAATATATATATATAAAAATATATAAATAGCTATATAAATATAAATCTTGCTTATATTCTTCATAATATATATATATATATTTAACACTGGTATAAAAGGCCAGTGGCATGTGTCCAGGCCCTGATTTTTAATGAGATTTTAAAATTCTGTTTTCAGGGTAAATATTTATATAAAAAACTGAATTTGGTTTCCACAACCCAGGTAAGCTCCATCATCTGCCACTAGAAGTGCACATATACTGGCTGACAATTCATTATTAAAAAATAAATTATGGGTTCAGTGGGAAAAATGGGCTTTTAAAAACAAACTTGTCAGGACATTTACTCAAATTCTTTAATTGGTGGTTATGAAATTGATATAGGAAAATAAAGGAAGAGTAAAAAAAAAAAAAAGGTAAAATGAGTACAATTTAAAAAAAAAAAATCAGAAAAATTCTTAATATATACAGGCCCTCCAGGGAATCCATTAATAAAAGTGAACGGTATACATATACATTTTAAGATCTAAAAGACTGAACTTATATTCCTACAAAACACTAATAACCCCTCTCTTCCTGCTTGATGCTATACTGCTACAGTAGTTTATGTCCTCCTTAAGTAGGAAAGTAGTAAATGGTTGTTTTTTAAAAAAAAAATAAGTCAAGGTTTTTTCAAGCTTATATCTGGGCTATCACAAACAGAAAAATGATGAAAATCCAATGCGAAGCCCAACTTGGACCTAAACATTTAGGAAAAACATCAACATGACCAAAAATCTTAAACAATTCTCATTCTTTCCAACTCCCAATAAACAAGGGGAAGGGGGAGAAGGAAGAAAGAAGAATGCACTTAAGTTCAATTACTGAAAACATCCACAGATAATTAGTGAAAGAGAGTGGGCTTGCTCCAAGTCACTATGCTGTACTGTTCAGTTTAATGAGAGCTTTTGCTGAAAAAGTGCTTTTTATTGTTATATTCAAAGCTGTTAATTTTTTGTTTTACATAAACAAGGACAAAATATTGCATCCAACAATAATATGCATAGGATGGGTGGTTTAAGCAGCTGATGGAGCTTGTTACAGGTGCCAAAGATGAAATTGTTTGCCCTAGGTTATGTTTGAAGCTATTCACAGGAACATTTCAGAGTAAACCTATTTCTATATTTGTTGCAGGCATTTTGGAATATAAAAAGGGAAAAGCAGGGTAAAGTTTGACATTCCTGAAGCATCCAGGGTAATATAGTGGATCACGAGACAGTTTCATTCTTGGATTCAACTTTTCTTCTTACAAGGTTAAGTAAGGATTAAATGAAGGACTTTACCTACCACATCTTGAGTAAGATTTTTACTAATTAGCTTGCTTTCACTGCTCTGTACACATGGAGTCTCCAGTTTCTTCTTTTCCTTCAGTGATGTTTTGCCAACACAAACTGTGGCAGGGCTGAAAGTGTCCTGGCATGTTGGCTTCTCAACATCTGAAGGACTCAGAATCTAGGGCTTTTTCTGTGACTCTTGTAGTCCTCCCAGAAGCACAGTTAGTTTTTTGGCTAATAATACATTGGAGAGATTCATGTAATAAAGGCAGGTCTAAGCTTCTGCCACAAGGTCTGAGGCCCTGAGGAAGAGGTTGAGATACTGAGCTTTTTGACACTGTGTTACAAAGCCAATGAGAAAGGGGTGTAGCACATTTCAGATGTGCAGGCATTAAGAACTTTGACATTTTTGGATAGTCTCTAGTAGGAAGCAGATGGGCTAAGCAGGCCCGACAACTGTGCTGAAGTATCATTAACTCAGTGGGATTTTCAGAGACTTCCAATGTCACTGACTGTGACTTGCTTGCTTCCTCTTCTTTATTCTTTAAGATGTTTGCATTTTCCATTATCAGTTCTTTTGCCAATGACATTACATTTGGACTCAAAGTCACTGCTGAATCACTATGGCGACGATAATTACAGTAAGTGCTGTGCATCATGGGTAATTGGTTCACACCCAAGCCATGCCCCATTGGCATTCCTGAAGGACACGCTACACCTATATTGGTTCTCTCACACATGAAATCTGGTGGTTTATGTCTGACTGCACACGATTGTTCTTGCAGCGATGATTCCATTAATTTTTGCTGGCTAGGGTCATCATACCATGAACAGAAGAGTAAGCATCTGGCTGGGTTACTGGTGCTTGATTTTGGAGCCTCAATAACAGAAGTACTACTTCTCCTCTGTGCAATGCTATGTCCAAACACAGGACGGGAAAGGCAGTGAATAGATTCTTGACCTTTATCACAGCAAGAGGAAGTTTCTGACTCAAGGGGCTCTTGCACAAGTGCAGGAACAATAATATATGGCTACAACAAAAAGCAAGTAAACGAACACACACACCAAAACCAAAAAATAACTGTCAGACAAACATGCTCATGAGTTGAATTCTAGTAAGCGCAAAGCTATTAAACCAATGAAATGAAATGAAATAAATGGAGGCCCATTTTATGATACTGTAGGAAGTGCTATACCTAACGCTAAAACCATTTCCTTGATCAAAGTAACCACACTTAGAAATACTCTATCTTCTTATAGCAAAATGAAAGAGACATTTGTAAGTCAAACTGGGAATACATGAACAAAATAAATCAGCATAAATCAGTATAAAAAAGCGGGGGGGGGGAAGCAACTTGCTAAATAATGATAATATTTAATATCATAATAAGTTACTTACTCCTGAAGGCTGTTGGTAGTGCCCTAGTTGCTGAAGACTATGAGGCAAAGCCTGGCTCTCACTTAGAGGTGGACTGTAAACCCGTTGAATAGCAGGAGGTATTGAATCAGGAATAGATGAATAGATGACACTTTGCTGGCTGCTCTGCGAGTCTGAATAAACAGTGGACCCCTGACCACTGTCAAATGTGCTGTCAGCTGAAAGAAAAATCTTTTTTTATTAAGGGCTTAAGAAATCAAACAAAATATTAAACGGCTTTAACAACGAGGTCAATGTGTGCTTTGACCATTTCCACTAGATAAAAAAAAGTTACACAATACAAATGTTATTTTCCATGAAAGGCACATCCTCCTCCCTGTAAGCTAAAAAAACAAGCATCTCCTATTGGTTTTTCTATGAAGCTAGACACAAATATTTCCTTTGATGGGATAAAGCACTAACACTAAGAACTATAAGTGTTCTATGAATCTTATAGGATGAAAATAATATATATACTGCAGTCTATTATTATTTCCATAGCAAAGAGGAGACCTCAGTGCCTTGCCTTTAAAGAGTTGGTGGTTTTAACACCCTTTTGGTTATTGGTATTGCAAATTTCCATTTAAAATAAATTATGGAATATGTTATGCTGCACAATTTGCTTAGCCAATTTATAAATCAGCTTCATTGCATACTATTACCTCAACTAAGGAATACTGACAAGAGAAAACAAGAAAGATCAGAAGTAAGATGTACAATGGGAACAAAACAATAGGAAAAACAAACTCTGGCTTTTTGCTCCAGCATAAGTCCCATAGCACTATTCAGCACAATGCCCAAAAATCATTGAGCCAAAGAGTTTAAGTTTTCACTTGTCCTACCATTTTAGGTCCCAATTGCCACACATGCAAAGTAAATAACAGAAGAACAGATTCATTGAAATTACAACTCAGGTCTAAACAACATTAATAAATCCTGATCTTTCCTGATGTTGTCCTTTACAAGTAGAAAGCCTTAGCATACCTGAATTCAATATCAACGTAACTGGATGAAATAAAACTGCTTAATATAAGCAGCCATCTCAATCTAAGTTTTTAATGATTAGGAGCACAATTCACAGCTTTGTCAATGCTTACAACATACAGAGTTATCCTGACTAATCTGAAGAATTGCACAACTGAGAACTGGGCAAGACTGGGATTTTTGTCAAATGGAAATAAGGCTTATAATGGTTTTGTTGAATATTAGAGGCCTTTTCAAGTTTATTGAAACTTGTACAACATATCTGCACAGTTAATTAGATTCTTTTGCTAAAGCTATATGTATACTTGAAAGAACCAAGATGGCAGCCATTCTTCCCATGGAGTTTAAAAAAAAAACAAAAACAATGACTGTGACAGCAGGGAGGAGTTGTAAATGTAGCTGACCTACACCACAGTTTGTTCGTTTTTTTTAAAGAGCTTTAATTTGAAGACATCCACTGCTACTATTTTGTCTCAAACCACCCATCTTCCCAATTCCTCTACCACCTAAATAAGGCTTTATTTGAGTTTGAATAAAAGGTGACCAAGGTCTCAAGCCCTCTCCATTTTTAGAAACTCAACTCCTAACCAAGTTTTGAAAAGCTAATCCCATTTCTCTGCACACATGCATCTCCAGTTTAAAATAATCAAACTCTGCCTAAGAAAACAATATTGTGATTTTATAGCATACAGCATTTCAATTCATTATAAACAATTATTCAAAGATCTCAAATAAAGCTAGAAAATAAACATTCATCAATAAAGCAGAGTCTGAGTCAAATGTGGATATTTATGGCACACCATGCTGTACAGAGATATTAAATTAGGGAGAGAATGAAAAAATAAATAGCACATGAGATAGATAGGGAAGTGACTTATTGAGCTTTTAGTCTCAACACCAAACAAGTTTCCAAGGACTTGGGCCACTGAATTGCCAAATTACAATAGGAATACATCACAAATAGTGGACCAGAAAGCAAATTCCAGTCTTAATACATACCTGCACTTAGAATCCTGCCAGCCCACTGGCCAGCACAATTAATTTAATTTAGCTATCATTTAAAAAAAAAATCTAATGTAGTATTTTATGAAAGGCTTCTCAAAGGAGTAAGCATATATGAATTCAGTATGTGGTCAGAAAAAAAATGTAGGATAAGTCCTGTATTTTCAAAGGTTTTATAAATACTGTAACATTCTGAAAGTTATACACAAGTTAAAATATGTTATTATGTAAAAGTCAGTTATTTTGTGCAGAAGCCACTATAATTATGTTTCCTGTTTAAGGTTACAAACTCACTTAAATATAATGAAAAAACGTTTTATAAGATACCCGAGTTGAAGAATAAACAGGGTCTGTATTTTGAATTTTTAGAAGCGGGTTAACTAAGTAAAACTCATTACAAGGGCATTCCCCCAACTTAACAGCTTCCAAGGTAGGACAGCATCTTAGAAAATTGGGGTTAGAAGGGACCTCAGGAGGTCATGTAGTCCAACCCCTGCTCAAAACAGAACCTGCCCCAACTATATATCCACAGCCAAGGCTGTGTCAAGTCTGGTCTTAAAAACCTCCAGTGATCGAGATTCCACCCTCTCTCTGGGTAACCTGTTCCAGTGCTTTACTAGCCTCCTCATGAAGGGTTTTTCCTAATATCTAACCTAAGCTTCCCTTGCTGCAACTTGAGACCATTGTTCCATGTTGTGTCATCTGCCATCACTGAACAGTTTAGCTCCATCCTCTTTTGACCCCGTCTTTAGGTAGTTGAAGGCTGCTATTAAATCTCCTCTCAGTTTCCCCTTCTCTAGAAGAAATAAGCCCAGTTCCCTCAAGTCATGTGCTTCAGCTTCCAAACGATTTTAGTTGCCCTCCACTGGACTCTCTCCAGCTTGTCCCCATCCTTTTAGGGCGCGGCAAAACTAGACAGTACTCCAGACTTGGCTTTGCCAGTGCCAAATAGAGAAGGATAATCACTTCCCTTGATCTGCTGGAAATGCTCCTACTAATGCAGCCCAGTATGCCATTAGCTTTCTTTGCAAGAAGGGCACATTGTTGGCTCATACTCATCTTATTGTCCATGAACTCCCTGGTCCTTTTCTATGCAGAACTGCTGCATAGCCAGTTGGTCCCTGGCCTATATCAGTGCATGGGATTGTTCCTTCCTCAGTGCAGGACTTTGCAATTCTCCTTATTGAACCTCATATTTCTTTTGGCCCAATCTTCCAATTTGTCTAGGTCACTCAGAATCCTAGCCCTTCCCTCCAACATATCTACCAGGGCTGCATGAAATTTCACCAGCAGTTTTACTTCAACACTGTTTCAATTCATTTTGAGCTTGAAACAGCGAAATCAAAACAAAACAAAGCTTCAAAACAGCCTCAAATCAAAAAACAAGGCAAGTTGAAACATTCTGAAATTTTTGAGATGTTTCAAGTTTTGAAGCTCAAGCTGGGCTTGCCTGCAGGGAAACAGAAACTAAAGTAAGGAGAGGGAAGGGGAAGGATTGCTCTCATTATTGACTGTGTAGCTGGCCAGTGACAGTCATCCTTCCCTGAGGTCTCTTCCAATCCCAGTGCTCTGGGGGAGAGATGGAAAAACTGCATAAAAGGCAGTACTGTTTGAACTGCCCTGCTTTCTGCCTTGGTGTCAGTTACTGAGCAGTGTGTTCCAGGTTTGCCTGTCAGCAGCTAGAGGTACAGGGCCCCAGAGCCCAGACTCCCCCTGCACCTATCTGCTTGACAGGCTTTATGGCTGCAGCAGGGCCTAGAAGGCCTGCAGTTCTCACCCCCTTGTGCCCTAAGGCCGACAGTCAGTTGCACAAACACCCATGTCATGAGTGTTGCCTGTCTGCAGCCAGAGATGCAGAGCCCCAGAACCCAGAAGCCCCTGCACCTACCTCCTTGACAGCTGGCAGGCTTCATGGCCTCAGAAGGGGCTAGCAGGCCTGCAGCTTTCACCCTGCTGCACCTTAACTAACACACACGCACACACACTGTCACCCATGTCATGAGTTTTGCTTGTCCACGGCTTGAGGTGCAGTTTCCCTGAAACCCCTCTATCAATCTCCTTAAAACTTGGCAGACTTCATGCCCTCAGAAAGGGCTACCACTCCTGCAAGTTTCATCCAAATCAGGCCAGAAATGACAAAGTTGTAGGCCGTTTCAAGCTTCCCCATTATAGCTTATGGGTGAAATGTTGAAACAGCGAAACTGTTTCAACAACACAAAACGGAACAGTGGTTTCGAACCGAAACAAAATTCAAAATGAAACACTGTTTCATTGAAATGCAAGTTGAAATGGAATGGTGCAGTTTTGCACAGCCCTAATACCTACTACTCCTCTTAGCTTGGTGTCATTTGCAAACTTTCTGAGGGTGCGCTTTATGCCATCTTCCAGGTCATTGATGAAAATATTGAACAAAACCAGCCCCAGGACCAACCCCTGGGGCACTCCATTTGATACTGGCTGCCAACTAGATAGTCATTCACAGATTCCCAGAAGTTCAGGGCTGGAAGGGACCTCATGAGATCATCAGGTCCAGCCCCACTGCTCTGGTTAAATAACCCCAGCAAGGTATGTATCCAGTATCCTTTTTGAAGATCTCCAGTATAGGTACTTGCACCATCCCTGCTGGGAGCCTTTTCCAGAGTCTGGTTACATGAACCATGAAGTTTTTCCTTATATCCAGTTTAAAACCTTCTTTTAGGAGTTTATGACCACTGCTCTTAGTTTTCCCTGGGGACACTTTAGGGAATAGTTGTTCGCCTAGCCCCTTATCAATTGATTACTATCCTCTCAGCCCAATGATCCAGCCAGTTTTCTATCTAACTTAGTTCAGTCATTCAGCCTGTACTTCTTTAGCTTGCTTGCAAGAATGTTGTGGGGGGACTGTATCAAAAGCCTTATTAAAATCAAGTTATAACATGTCCACTGCTCTTCCCACATTCACAGAGCCAATCATCTCATCATATAAGGCAATCAGGTTGGTCAGGCATGACTTGCCCTAGGTGAATCCATGCTGACTCTTCCTAGGGCACCTCCTCCTCCTCCAATGCTTAGAAATAGATTCCTTGTGGACCTGCCCCATGATTTTACCAGGGACTGAAGTGAGGTTCACTAGTTTGCTGTTCCCGGGATCCTCCTTCTTCCCATTCTTAAAGATGGGCACTGCATCTGCCCTTTTCTAATCCTCCCCCAGTCA